CATCATGTATAATGTATTTTTTTCCTTGCACAAATTCCACTATTAAAAAAAAAAAGTTTAAAAAATAAGGTGGATTAATTCAAACAGATGTGTTAAACTTAAGCATTTGCAACCAATAAACAACTTCAGTGCTCACACCAAATCTGTCTTTAAAGAGTAATCAGTTACTGTGAAATACTTGAATTAAAATGAATAGAGTTTTAAAGCTCCTCTAAAGAAATTCAGAGCATTATTCAATGTGTTGATATAATTTCAAATGAAACAAAGACTGAAATCAAAAGCTGTCCCCGCCCTATTTAAAAACAAGCTTCATTTATATCAAATTTCAGCATTGAACTCCATTGAGCACCATTTAATACCTTTTGACAGTCTAATAGTAATGCTGAGCCTGTCTAACCACATCTAATCTCCTCCATATCGCTTTAAACAAAGCATTATGTGTCGAATTGAGATGAGACTGATACATTTTGTGATCTTTGCTGACTTAAACAGATGACCCACCATGTGCAAGAGCCTCTGGATTAGAGCAGACTGTGTCATCCACAGCGGTTTGTGTCTTAATTCACCCCAATGGAAAGCATAATCACACTAGCTATACTATTTACTTTGTGCCACTCACTATATAGAAAACAGTACGTGTGTGAATGAAATTTCAGATGCACATTTAGCATTCATTTATAGTTTAGGGAAAATGAGCACTACAGATCCTAGAAAGCATTTCAATGGACAATATCTGATGAGAAGCTAAAGGCATGGTTAACCCAAAAATTCATTCATTCATTAATTTTCTTGTCGGCTTAGTCCTTTTATTAATCCAGGGTCGCCACAGCGGAATGAACCGCCAACTTATTCAGCAAGTTTTTACGCAGCGGATGCCCTTCCAGCTGCAACCCAACTCTGGGAAACATCCACACACACATTCACACACACACTCATACACTACGGACAATTTAGCCTACCCAATTCACCTATACCGCATGTCTTTAGACTGTGGAGGAACCCGGAGCACCAGGAGGAAACCCACGCGAACGCAGGGAGAACATGCAAACTCCACACAGATACGCCAACTGAGCCGAGGCTTGAACCAGCGACCTTCTTGCTGTGAGGCGACAGCACTACCTACTGCGCCACTGCTAAGCCCAAATTAAAATTATTATTATTATTATTATTAATATTATTATTATTATTATTATTATTACTACTACTACTACTATTTACCCACCCCAAAGTGGTTCCAAACCTTTATGAGTTTCCTTATTATGTCAAACAAAAAAGAAGATATTTGAAGGAAGCAAAAAAAACTAGGGATGTCCCGATCAGGTTTTATGCCCTCGAGTCAGAATCATTTAATTTTGAGCGTCTACCGATACCGAAAGCCATTAAAATACTTCTATAATACAAAAAAATTAAGAAAAGCGAAGAAACAGGTCCAGGACGGTCCTTATATTTTATGTAATTTGTCTTCAGTCGGGTGTTTGTTTTTGAGGTGCCTTATAAGGCTTGTTGTGTTAAATGTAGCCTTCTCCTTTCCACCTTTTAGTTTACATATTTCAGTTTGATATGACTATGTTGTTGTCATCAACTTTATAATACCTCCAGACAGCAGACATACTCGCGCTTTCCAGTTCATGCTGCTTCTGTGTTCTACTTTGCCTGCATTTAACCAATAGCGTCTCTGCAACAAAGTGATGTCATGCCGCACGCGAGGCTGTTTCTCTGTAAAGTCAAGAATGAGGTCTAACTCTGTGCCACCGCATAACTATAGATGTGTTATAAAATTATGAGAATATATGAGCAATATCACACGAGTAGCAGTGCGATATGGCTGTATATCGGCACTGGTGGGAGGTGTGCGTTGGCACGAGGCCGCAGGCAGAGTGTCTTAGTGCACCCACCAGTGCCGATATACAGCCATATCGCACTGCTACGAGTGTGATTTTGCGTTTATACAACAGTTTGACGGCATAATTGTGTACATAAAAACAAAATCAAACATGGAGAGTCTCAAAAACCCTTTTGTATGAGCAACTACTTTCTTCAGGATTTAAATCATAAGCTGAAAGTTAAACAGTTGAGCGGGCATCTTTTAAACTTTAGATCTGTAGTGTCTGCTTTTTGCTGGCTGTATGTGGGCGGAGAGATACCAAAGAGCTTAGAATGACCAAGAGGCGACACTCTAGTGTAATTTGGGAAACAGCCACTAGAGGGCGCGGCGGCCATTTTGGAATGAAAACTTCAATAGAACAACAGCATATTATAAGTCTGATCAAAAGTGCTGATGATTGTGATAATAAGTGTTGTATTGTCGTCTTTCAGGCTGTATTTCAGCTTTAATGCGGTTTTTTAAACAAAATAAATAGAAAACAAAGCAGCTGCTTGCCATCGCGACAGTAATGAGATCCAATGGATGGCCGATCACTTTCACTCCAAAATGGCGGAATCCAGGGCTGTTGCTGGACGCTGCTGTTGCAATCGAACGTTCTATTGAGTGTCGCCTCTTGGTCATTCTAAGCTCTTTGGTAATACACAAAGGGTAAAGAGGCTGTAGAATTTCTAATATTGCAGAATATCGCAAGACTATCAGCCAATCAGATTTGAGAACCAGACAGAACTGTTGTATAAATATATATATTATCGAGTGCTGATCGGGAGGTAACGTTTCCGATCACGTGATTGGATCTGGACATCCCGAAAAAAACCATTAACTATTGACATCCATAGTACCAAATATTATAGCACTATATATTAACATGTTCCTTAATACTATATAAGTCGATGTTTACTAGTTTACAGCTTGCTTCATAATCAGTTGGGTGAAGCATCCCTTTAAGGGGCAGCTTACATGACAACGTTTTTAACTAAAAGTGAGAAATAAAAAAAAAATGTTTTGTCGTAAAATGTGTTTTAAGACTGAAAAGAGGATTTTTTTTTAAATGGCGTCATTGTCTTATGGTATCCAGTGTTTGGTATTTATGACTATATTTATTTATGTAGCACCGTGGTCCTACAAGACACAACACTGCACTGTATGTCCACACATGTAGTTCGAAAAACAATGACATCATGCATGTGCATGTTTGGGAGTAAAATGGGAGTGTAGATTAAAGGCAAACACAAACACACATTGTTCACCAGCAAACTAAATCCTCATTCACACTACAAGTGACTTGCAGCAGCAAAGCGACAAGCGACTGTTCATTTCAACAAAGAGCAAACGACTTCTGGTGACCTCAGTCTACATGAGCAACACTAACTGTTGGCGACACGACAGCGTTGAGAATGCTTTAACTTTATGCAAATGAAGAGCAACTTTCTTGAGCGACCATACACAATAAATGCTCTATATAAATACACATCACTTAGTTACGAGTATAAGCAACAATTCACATCATTTACTAAAGACTTATTACCTGCCTATAATTAAAATAGTAACTATATATTAACACTTATAAAGTATGATCTTATTCTACATCCCTACTACTACCTTATTAATTATTAATAGGCAGCTAATTAGTAGTATAACAAGCTAAATGTAGCTTATAGCTTAGCTAATGATTTGTTAATAGCAAGAATTGTACATTAAAATAAAGGGCCCTATCATACATCCGGCGCAGTGTGGCGCAAGGCGTGGCGCAGTAGTCTTTTGGTAGTTTCAGCTTGGCGCAAGAGTCGTTTTGAGGCGTTGCGCTACGCTCTTTAAATAGCAAATGCATTAGCGCTCATTTTTGCGTCCATAGGCGTTCTGGTCTAAAAAGGAAGGCGTTCTGGGGCGGACCGCTGGCGCGTTGCTATTTTTAGAATCTATAATAGATTTTTCATTAGACCAAAACTAACCCGGTCTAAACTCCGGCGCAGAGTTGCGCCTCGCTTACACACTGCTTAATACGCACAAGAGAGCAGTAGGCAAATATCTTTACATATGAAAAAATGTAAATATTAAAAATATATATATTATATAATAAGAATAGATATAGGATATAAATATAAAGGATTAAAATATTACAAAACATATTATTTTCTAGCCTACATAAATATAAAAAAAAACATTGCTTTTATGTCTTCTTCATCTCGGGAGACTTTTTCAGTTCATTCATAACAATTTGCTTTTGTATAATGTTATTATTATTAGCAGTATTATTTATTATATCCATATTTATATTTGTTTTATTGAAAACAAGCTTAGATTTGCCCACCTGTTAGGTTTTAGACCATATGGGGCACAGCATGTGTTTTAGGATATAACTCAGGTTTTTGAACACACTTTGTTGTTATTATTCATTTATTCGTTTGCTGGAAATTAGAACTGAATTTAGAAATAGTTTTGAAACGAATATTTGCGCTTAACAAACAAAAGTATTTATTTATAGACTAATTGATGTCTGTGCGTAAAGGTTTCCCTATCCAAGAGCGAAAGTGAAAGTGATCCATTATCTCTCATTCTCACGCAGTAGATGCTATGTTTAACAGTTTTCTGTTAAAAAAATTTTAACTGTTTGCTTGTGAAATGTTCTTTTTTTCCACTTAGACTTACTTTGCGTCCTGTAAATGGCGAATGCGCTCTTGGCGCGACCCAGCTGGGTCTTAAAGGTAATGGGAGATAAGATTCTAATTGGTTTATTCTCAAAACACACCTATAACTCATTAAGAAAATAAACTCAACCCTTTTAGAACATGCGCCGCGGTGCAAGGCAGATTTCCCGTCCTTAAATTAGCAAAAATGCGTCCTGACATGCCCTAAAAGCGTTTGCGCCCTGCGTTTTGCGCTCTGCGCATGGACTGTCAAAATAGAGCCCATAGTGTGACCCCCATTTTTCGATACATTGTTGTCGTGTAAACATATAGTGTAAGTGCAGAGTGATGTCATCAAAATCACTGATCCATAATGCTTAAAGTGAAAGATTGTACATTTTGAAATATGCATGTATTTTCTAAAGATTTTTTTTTAAATATGGTATTCAAATTAAAATGCACTCAAAAAAATTGTAAAAATGAATACTAACCCATCTTTGGTTTGGTCCAAAACACCTGTCAGTAGAACGGCGGAATCCTTGGAAAGCCAAATGTCTGTTTGCGCATGGAGAAATTTGAAGACAAAGTCCTCTGGGGACATGTAGCGCTCTCCATTCTTCTCCACACTGGCATACTGTGAAGGGAAAAAAAACTGGCTAATATCACGCATGCTGATGCCACAGCAATATAAAATAAATTGTAGATATAAAGTACAATTCTGTAATCGATACACTCTTTTGCCATAAAACCTCAAACTTGAAGCTGTCGTTGAAATAGTCACTTGATACAGTACAATGCGGTATTCCATCAATATTATAAGCATGGCCATATAGATTTTAATTAAATACATATATGGCACAGTTCAAATAGCAATAATAAATTTTACTACTAAACCACAAAACAAAATAATCAAAGAAATATGTATCTTTCATCACAGTTAATGAGCAATAATAAACAAACAGAGTCTATTTAATCCAGATATCAGAAGGCAAGGCAGATTATTATATTAAATATATGGAGCTTGTGTTAGTTTGTTGAACGTTTGCTGTAAGATTAATTCGCGATGTGGCTTAAAATAAGTAATTCATGCAAGTTTTCTACTGTTCTTTAAAGGAACTCGCATATCCATGTGAACTTACTATGAGTTCCATACAGTGCTCGGTGCATTTTTAAATTAATCCTCAGGTTTTCTTTCTGTAATGAGAAATTTATTAAAGGGTTACATCAGATATCTCATTGACACCAGTGTTTAGACGTTGCGCTACAGCTCCCGTCACTTCATTTCCAGACTCTCAGAGGGGATAATCGGTTACATACCTTTAAGAAAATGAACTTGAGCTCTGCTGGATCGGCCCTCTTTATCATTACCTGCAGGCATAAACACACAGTCACATACATATATCCTGGATCTAAGTGTATGAGGCAAAAGTAGTGAACCTTTCTGTGTCTGTATCATTTTAAATGGACAAAATGAATAATATTATATTCTATAAAATTAGAAACCATATTAAATGCAAAGTAAAGTGTCTACTTTAATGTTTCAAAGAATCTGCCTATACAGAAATCTGCAGACTGTTTAGCCCAACAGTCTATTTACTTATTTAAATGTGTGCAATATACATTTATTCAGTTTTAATATTTATTTCAGTAATTTAATTAAATAATATGCAAATGTTCATATGATTAATTTAAATATTTTACTATTTATAGTTTAATATTTTAGTATATGATCACATTATATAATTATATATATATATATATATATATATATATATATATATATATAAAATTATATAATGTGATCATATACTAAAATATTAAACTATATAAAAGCAATATAAAGTGTCTACTTTAATGTTTCAAATTACTTACTTGGCCCAGACAGAATCTGAGTACATAGAAATCCACAGCTTTTTTTGCCCATCATTGAGTTTTTTATATGCAAATGTTAAATCATTTATTTACAAAACAGTTTGTAAAGTATTATTTTCTAATATTTAGATTTATTTGTTAGTAAATATATATGATTGTATAACCACTGCAAACTTTTACAAAGTTTTACTTTACAAAGTTTTTCCTTCCTGCATTGTAAACCTTAAATAAAAACTTATAAAGTTTTATTTCTAATTTCATATATTACGTTTTTAGTTTCTATACTCTCAAAATCATTCTGCAGAAATAGCAAAAATTACCACAGATTCTGTCTGACCCTAATTATGGCTATATAAAAGTTAAAATATGGGTGAAACAATCAATTGTCATTCACAGAAACAGATACATTTATGTAAAATATTTAACTTATAAAAACATCTTACTGACAAATAGGTAAACCCTAATGGTTTGAAGAATGAAAGTATTGAGATTTAAAAATTGCTTATTAATGTTGTGGAGATGCTTAAAAAATATATCATCCAAAAATGAAAAAAAAAACATATTTAATAAGGCATTTAGCTGGCATTGTGGTCCTTGGTGATATAAAAAATGGTAATAACAGTCTGAATAAAGTTCAGTTTCTCTAACAGACTTATCCTTTCGCTTCATTGAGACCTCAAGACCTCACTGCATTGCCAGGAGTTTTCTATTTCTTTGTCTGAATATTTTGTGTTGACTCAAATTGCTGGTAGCCTTAAAATGCATTACGTAACTTACAAAGGAACAAAGTTTCAGCTAAAAATCTTCTTTAATGTTCTATAAAAAAAAATAAAAATGATGGAAAGGGAACAAGTCAATTAACTACAAATATACAGATTTAAGTGACTTACCACTAAATATAGTTTTAATTTGTGCTTAAAAATTATTCTAATAAACATGTCTAACAAGATTTTTGAGTATAGTCCTTTTACAGTGAATTTACAATTTACAGTTCTCTTTTAAATAGGCATCTTCTGAAAATTGTGGTAAAAAATTACATGATGGTATAAAAAATATATATTATATAATAAAGCTGTGTGACACTTTTTTATGCTTGAAAACCTCTTTTATCCACCCATATTCATTAGGCCAATATTTAGAATAAAGTGTTTTTATGGTAAAGTGTCGTTTTTTATGATAGTCCACCAAATAATCACATGAATATTGATGATGGAATTAAACCATCTTATTTCTAGGCAACCACTTGTAATGTCAAGCTCTTTTCAGGAGTGCTTAGCATCCCACAGACCCCCTGACACTCTTTCAGACACTCTAGCAGACTCTGGACAGTCTGTCTACAGGGGTTTGCTCCTTCATTCGAGCTTTCTGGAGAGCTCTTATGTCTCAATGTCATTGACAGACGCTAACATTCACCCAGGACATTAGCAGGCTAACTAGCTGCATCACACCGGCGGCTATTGAGTACTGAAGGTTATCAGTTAATCTCCGCCACGTTCCTTCAGTGTTCTGCGATGGTGGTTTTTTTGTATTTATATACACGCAATGCTTCACTATCAGACACTGAGGACTGTTCGTTTTTGGAAAGTGTTGTTTTGTGAGAATAGCGCTTACCTTTGCTGCCATGCTCAGCTAGCGCTCAACTACAGCCACAGGGAAAGCTCGAGCTTGATGACGTTTCCATGGAGATCACGTGCGGCTCTGTTGATCGCGGAGGAAAAGCGGATAATAAACACTCGAGTTCGCTTCTTTGATGCTCATTTGAACATACAGGTTATTATTAATCTAACGTTAAAAGTTTGATTGAATTTTTAAAGCAGAGTAGTTTGTTTTAAGATTTCTTGTTTGAAAATACGAAAAATAGGTGTTCATCTACTTTATTCCAACATAAAAAAATATTGAGGTAATTTACAGTAAAAACTAGGCTATGGGTTTTTTAAGCCACTATATTAAAATATAATCAATAATTGTTGTTGTAATAATATGACAACTCTAGTAGTATAAAAAATTACCCAATACTGTAGTTTTTTATAACTCCATAGGCCATAGGTCATTATTCTACAATACATCACAGTTTACTGTAGTAAACCTAAAGTACTACAGTTTATATTACAGTTTATTAATTCACTATAGTTAATATAGAATGCTGTGGTATTCATTAACATAGGGTTAAATGGTTAAAAATGGTTCAAACACACTAGGCTACAGTGTTTATTGTAAATTGCTATGTAATTTTTTCAGGTGGTTTTAATATTTCAAACAAAACATTTATGGTATCACTTTATAAAAGGATTTATTAGCAAAAACAGATAACATTTAATAGTTTTCCCTAAATCATGTTTTCATTGTGGGTGGCATGGTAGCTCAGTGGTTAGTGTCATTACAGCAAGAAGGTTGATGGTTTGAATCAAGTTTGCACTCCCCCTGTTTGTGAGGGTTTCCTCTGGGTGCTCTGGTTTCCCCTACAATCCAAAGACATGCGCTATAGGTGATTTGGGTGAACAAAATTGGCCATAGTGTATGTGTGTGTGTGAATGAGTTAGAATGAGTTTGTACGGCTGGAAGGGCATCGCTGCATAGCAGAATAGTTGGTGGTTCATTCCGCTGTGACTAAATAAGGGACTAAGCTGAAGGAAAATGAATGAATGAATGAATGTTTTACTGCACTGACGAGACATTTTTTTGCTATTTCTGCAGTGAATTTTGTAAAAAAAAAAAAAAAATTTAAATCTGCAGATTTATCTGAAATGATTTGTGGGAGTATCATAACTAAAAACTCAATATATTAAATTAAAAATCGACAATGCAAAACCAATTAGATCCGCTTATTTGGTAAACAAAGCAAGTCTCTCGTATAATATCTTTACTAAAAGACAGAAAATTACTTTACAAACTGTATTTATAAATAAATCATGAACATTTTCATATTTTCTTCAATAATATTACTGAAATTAATTATACACACTTATTGATTATACAATTGATATTTATGCTATATATTTACACACATGTACACAAGTAAATAAATAGACTCAATGATGTGCTAAAAATCTGCGGAAATATGTGGATTTCTGCGCGTGCAGATTCCTTATGGCAATAAATAAACAAATTAAGAAAATTTGAACAACTATATAATCTGTCAAAATCAAATTAACTCGTTATATGTGTCTATAAAATATTTTCTTTTTATTTGGTGTAATTGAAAATCTAAATATCTCATTCTAAAAATCTAAATATGTATGGAAACAAGTCTGAAAAAACATGGTTTGCAAAAATAAATAAATAAAAATATTAGTAGTTGTTATAGAGTTTGTTATATCCTGTAGATTATATATTTTTTAAAATAATAAATAATAAAACTTTTATTAAAATGATGCTTACAGACATGTATATATTCATTTTCAGGAATTTACAATATGTGTTAGAATAAGAGTTAAGAATGAGTAATCAATATTTGATAAAGATATTTATTTTAGCAGTTTTTGATTTGTTTAAATCTAAAATGTTCCTATGTAATGTTATCTAAAACAGTGATCCATTCATTCATTCATTTTCCTTCGGCTTAGTCCCTTTATTTATCAGGGGTCACCACAGCAGAATGAAGGTCCAACTTATCCAGCACATGTTTTCTGCAGCGGATACCCTTCCTGCTGCAACTCAGTACTGGGAAACACCCATACACTCACACGTTCCTACACATACACGCTCATACGCTACGGCCTATTTTGTTTATTTAATTCACCTATAGCGCATGTCTTTGGATTGTGGGAAAAACTGGAGCACCAGGAGGAAACCCACGCCAACATGGGGGGAACATGCAAACTCCACACAGAAATGCCAACAGGCCCTGCCGGTACTTGAACCAGCAACGTTCTTTCTGTGAGACGACAGTGCTAACCATGAGCCACCGTGTTGCCAACAGTGATCCAATTATAGCAGAATGAAATACAAGTGCCTATAGAATTTAGAAAACCTTGCTAAGAGTAACGTTTGGAGATATTTATGATGGTTTTAAGTCAAAAAAAATTCTAAATAAAGAAAAACTATTAACATTTAAACTTTTATTTCATCCTGAAAACAAAACAAGTCTGAATTCTTTCTCTCATCATATAAGCCTTTTTATTCAGACATCAACTGTTGAACCAAGAAGGAGCAACGGTTATCATTTGCTTCGGTGTAAAAAACAATTTAGAGGAGGAAAAGGTCTCTGCCGGGGGAACGGTCTTCAAAAATAAACTGCACTTTGAGCTCAAAATAATTCAAAGTGTTTTCTGCTGGTTTCTGGGATTCTTGAAGAACCAGTAGGAACCAGTAGTATTTTTCACAGCAGGTTTTCTGCAGCACTCAAATGGGCCTCACTGGAGAGATTCTCCTCCACAGCACCTGCTCCATTCTTTATTCAGAGTTAAGATGGTTTATAATGTGATGCATTGTGTTAATATTTCAGTTGGTAAGTGACAGATAAGGAAAGTAACAGGATTCATGCGTCTTATGTGCATATTTAAAATACAAACTACAAGTATTTTTAAATAGGTTGTATTCAGTTCAATTCCTTTATTTCTATAGCGCTTTTACAATGTAGATAGTTTCAAAGCAGCTTAACATAGAAGATCTAGTAAATTAAATCTGTGTCAGTTTTGAAGTTCAGTTTAGTTCAGTTCAGTGTGGTGTAATTTTCACTGCTGAAAGTCCAAACACTGAAGAGCAAATCCATCAATGCACAGCTCAACAAGCCCCAAATCAACCAAGCCAGTGACGAGGAACAAAACTTCACCAATTGACTAAAGTGAAGGGGAAAAATTGTGAGAGAAACTAGGCTCAAGTCAAACGTCTTGTGCAGAGCTGCAGTCTCAGGGCCAGGGCCTGGAGAACACTGGACGTATATCGTGGAGAAGCTGCAGGTGTGAGTAGGTCATCGGCGGGTGTACAGGCTTGACCATGGGAATATCTGCTCAGCATACAGCCTGGTCCAGGATTATGGAGACCTCAGGATATTTTAAATGATCCGAATGATTCATTGGAATATTAATGGGGTTTATTTTATTTGCAATTTATGTAAACAACAAGTGCAGATTCTCTGACTTTTTAGAACAAAAAAAAATTTATAATACAAATTGGGGAAATGAAAAAACACTTTTTGCAAGAAAATACAAAGATAATTTTGTTTATAAATATGAAAAAGAATTTTTAAACTATGTACCTGGGAATTTATTCTTCAAAAATACCAAAAAATGATGCATATCTTTTGAATACACTACTAACAACAAGCAAAAAGGCCATTACAAAGAAATGGCTCAAGGAAGATCCTCCATCAGTAGGTGAATGGCATGATATTGTAAAAGAGGTGCATGATATGGAAGTACTGACACTTTCCTTGAGACAACAAGCCTATTACATTTCTGCATGAGAAGAAATGTAATGTTTTAATTTTACTGTGGTGCTTTTATTAATATATATCTGTAGCATGTTAAGCTTTGATATGTAACCCTTAACAAAATTTTATATAGCAACATTTTATCAGCCATGATATACAAAATAAGATTGTGCTCAGTGACCTTTGACACTTGTATTGTATGTCTTTTTTGTTTCCATGTTCTTTTAAAAAAGTTTTTTTTTTTCATTTATTTATTATTTATTTATTTATTTTTGTTTTGTTTTAGACTGGTTTGAAATCAATAAAATTATAAAATATGAAAAAGGATATAAAATCACAATGCAGGTTGTGTGCAAAAAAAATATTAATAGCTTGTAAAACTTTAACATCTAAACTGCAAAAGCATCCTAAAGTACAGTTCTGCTGATACGTTTACATGCCTCCTGCATATAATAAAAAAATGTTAATAATTTTACCAAAATTAGAAGTAAAAAAAATGTATGTTATTTTTTTTTTGAATTAGTGCTGTTCTGAATCATCTGCTCTATATGTTTGGATACAAAACTTTACAAAATAATAACAACTGAATATAATAAACACTGAATTTATAAAAAAATTGTCCTATTCAAAAACATTTCATTTTCCTTCATCTTAGTCCCTTTATTCATCAAAGATCACCACAGCGGAATGAACCGCCAGCTTATCCAGCATATGTTTTAAGCAGTGGATGCCCTTCCAGCCGCAACCCAGTGCTAGGAAACACCAATACACACTCATTCACACTGATTCACACACATACACTATGGCCAATTTAGTTTACTCAATTCCCCTATCGCGCATGTCTTTGGACTGTGGGGAAAACCACCTGGAGGATATCCACACCAACACAGGAAGAACATGCCAACTCCACACAGAAATTGCAACTGACCCAGCCGGGACTCGAACCAGTGACTTTTTTTGCTGTGAGGCGACAGTGCTAACCGCTGAGCCGTGTCACCCTATTCAAAAACATACATGATCCATTTGTGATGGTTGTTTATGAGTCCCTTGTTTGTCTTGAACCCACTGTTCTTCAGAAAAACCCTCCAGGTCCAGCACATTCTCTGGCTTTCTCATTTCTTCTGCATATTTGAGCCCTTTCCAACAGTGGCGGAATGATTTGAGGCTCAACTTTCAGACTATGAACAACTAATGGACTTGAAGATCCTCAAGGAGAGTATACACAAAAAGTACTGTATGTATACATAGGGAGTATGTAAAAAATGCTGGATTACACACAACTTTTTTATATTGTCCTGAAACAAAGATTAAGTTTTTTAA